CCTTGGATCCCATTCGGGCTGTTTAAGGATGGGATGAAGCAGCCCTGGAGGGGAGTGTGCTGGGGATGAGGCTTCCTGGACACCGTGTGGTGCCACTGCAAAGCCACGTGCTCCGGGAGCCCTGGGCATGGGACACCTGACATTCAGATCCACTGGAAGAGACTGGTGAGACATCCCCTGGTAGTCAGAGACCCAGAGCGGCCGGGTAAAAGGCCCGGGCAGAGGAGCACGTGGTGCCCACAGTGCCTGTTCCTGGTGCCTGTTYCCGCAGGGCTCATCTCTTCCAGGGCGGCTTTTCCCCCTGCCAATAAACCTCGAGCTTTGCAGGGGCAGCAGCTGCCCTGAGGGCACCCGTGTGCAGGGAGCAGCACCCACGGGCCCTGCCCTGGGCACGAGGGGCTGCCGGGTGCTCTGGGTGCCCATGTGGATGTGCTGACGTCCGTGTCTCCCTTCCAGGGCATCGCTGGAGCCGACGGCCTCCCYGGGGACAAAGGAGAGCTGGTAGGTGCCCATCCGGTCATCAAAGCCTCCGCTCACACGTGTGAGCCCAGGGAAGCCCAGCTCAGGTGGCCAGTGAGGATTAACCACATGGGAGCTCCAGGAGCTGCTGTTGGTGACTGGCTGGGCAAGGCAAGAGCCCCCCAGGCCTTGGGCTCACCGTGTCATATACCCCTGTCATTGCTGCCACCTCAACTAGAAAGGCCCACGGGGTGCTCTGTGTCTGCTCTGCTTCCCGAAGCTCAGCACGTGGATTTGATCAATGTACCCTTTTTTATTGGSTTATTGTTTCATGTTTTCCTTTTATTTTCCCACAGGGTCCCTTTGGTCCTCCCGGCCAGAAAGGAGAGGTAGGTGCCAGACCCGCCAGTGCTGGGGTTGGGGACAAAGGCACTTGCCGTCCCTCCATGAGGTGTCTCCAGAACTGCAGGGTGGCACCTGCAGTGCCATGTCCCAGGGAACATGTCCCATGCAGGGAACATGACCCAGCAGCCTGTGTTCCTCTCAGCCATGCCCTAAAATCTGTGACAATGACAATTCTTTGTGACGATCAAATGGTACAAACTGGATTTGACTAATTTGGTTGCAGGGCAGACATGGACTCTAATAACCAAGACCTCTATGTCAAACCACCCGYGTAATGGACAAAGGACGTGGGCGCCCAGTTCCTTTAGGGAAATGGGAAGAAAAGCTTAATTAAGCCCCTTAAGAGCATAACAGACCATATCTTGCTTTTTAATCTTTTTTCCTTTTTCTTCTTTACAGCCAGGAAAAAGAGGAGAGCTTGGTCCCAAAGGCGCCCAAGGACCTAACGGGACCGCCGGTGTTCCGGGGATTCCTGGTCATCCAGGGCCTATGGGCTTGCAGGGAGTACAGGGTGTTCCCGGCATCACAGGAAAGCCCGGCCCTCCGGTGAGCTCCCTGCTTTGGGGACCCAGCCAGGGAGCTCTAATGGGAATAGGTGGGGTCTGGATTTGGGTCTGGGTGAAAAGCCCCTAATTTTGTCCAGATTTGGGGAGACAGAAGCGGGTAGATGCACTCGCAGCTCGGTCCTGCCACAGCAGCCTGTCTTATATTGAACACAATTAGTGCAGTTTGCAAGTTTAGAGTTAAAAGTATATTCTTCAAATTCATGCTTTGGAGAATTAATCTTCTCTCGCACTGTTATAGTAATAGATTTTCTGCATTCAATAGAATGGGCTGCATTAAGTGACTTTTCATTAGAAAAGTGAGTTAGAAGTTGCTGATTATTTGAAAATATAACTCTTACTCACTGCTCCAAATGTTAGGTTTTTATCTTTGAACAGAGGTAATGCCTCGTCAATCAGGAAAGGCCAAATGACCTTTAAAATTCAAGATGAAATAATCTGGCTTCAAATATTGAAATGAATCCCTGCTAGTAAGGTCAGGACAGCTTCTCATTGGAGCTGTTGTGATGTGAGGGGTAAATGCATCCTCAGGAGGGATCCTTGGCTGCTCCTTATGAGCTGCTGGGAATGAGTTTTGTGCCCACCAGTTTTGTGAGTTTCTGTCAGGGATGGTTATCAAACAAACCCACATTCTTAAGGCAGGATTATTTTCTTAATTGCAGGGCAAAGAGGCCAGTGAGCAACATATAAGAGAACTCTGTGGGGAAATGATAAACGGTGAGTGCTGCTGGGGAAAGGGGCTTTAAATACAGAGGTAGCTGRAGAGATGGAGATCCTCAGTGCGAGATGACCCCTGAGATTTTGTTATTTCTCTGATTCAACGGGGGAAAATATTTTGACATTAATGTAAAGTAATTATTCAGGGCTGGCAAAGCTGCCCTGCAACATCCCTGTCCTGCCCTTCTTCCTTCTGCCTTTGATCCTCACAGCGCCCCTCGCCCCTCTGCCCCCAAGGGCCTGCAGGAACTGTTGCTGCTTTGACACTACGTTGTGCATTTAGAGGGTAGCTTCACCCATGGCATGGAGTCAAAACCATCAGGTTTTGGAAAACTTGATCATTTTTAGCATTGTTCTCCAATATTTAGAATCTTTAAAAGTTGGTTTAGGAAGCAAGAAATATCGGTGACTTAATAATCCTACAGATTGGGGACCAAACTCTCTATCTGTAGCTTGAGGTTTATTATTTAAAAAGAATATAAGACACAAGTGAGCTGGCGTGGCAGATTCTGGAAAGTTTAGCCTCCTTCTGGAAGCAGCAAGTGTGTAGGAGCAGCAGAGAGCAAGAAACCTGCCAGAGCAGCCGCCTTTATTGTCAGAAACTCGGTTTTAGCTGCTCCCTCGCTCGGTAGCTCCCCYGCGGCAGCCGGCGCGGGGACGGGGGCGCCGCCGCCTGCCCCATTCCCCGCTCCGTGTTTTTGCAGATCAAATTGCACAGTTGGCTGCCAATCTGAGGAAGCCGCTGTCCCCCGGCATGACGGGACGTCCCGGCCCCGCCGGCCCCCCCGGGGAGGAAGCCGCTGTCCCCCGGCATGACGGGACGTCCCGGCCCCGCCGGCCCCCCCGGGCCTCCCGGGACGACGGGGAGCGTCGGGCACCCCGGCGCCCGCGGGCCCCCCGGCTACCGGGGCCCGACGGGAGAGCTCGGCGATCCCGGACCCAGAGGTGAGGCCGCGCTCGTGGTTCCTGCAGCGTTTTGAAGCCCTTCGCGCGGCCTCTGCTCTGCTTGGGCTGCACGTGCAGCCCGTTGTGGAAATTCTCTKCTTCTCTTCAAGGTGATGCTGGTGAAAAGGGAGATAAAGGACCAGTTGGACAAGCTATTGATGGGCCTGATGGAGATCAAGGGCTTCAAGGTAACACCTTTAATAATCTAGGGTTGCAAATTAATAAATCTCTATTAGAAACTCAGAAGGAAAATKCTTTATTTTTTCTTACCCATTAAAACAGTTTTCTAATTGCAATTATATCTACACAATGAATATGTTACAGGCACCAAAAGCAGGCTCTCGTCTATATAATTTCACAAAACCAGAATATTTATACAAGTTGTCCCAGATTTCTCCATAAAATAAGTGCATTAATCCATAAACATGTTTTCTTTTCCAAAGCTTGTAAAAAGATGCTACTCTGTACCCATTAAGATCATGCAATATAATGAAATAAACAGCAGCTGCGATTCTTATCAATAGGATCAGGCGCTTTTTATCATAATTAAGATAGGAAGGCAGGTTTTTGRCTACCTGATACACCTGCCCTCAGGTGGACAGAATCTCATTTAACAGGRTTGAAGGGCGTTTCAGTAGCGTGCATCAGTCATAGAGTTGTTRCAGGACTGAGAGGTTTGTGAATTGCTTGGAATGTGAAGGAAAAAAGAAATTCAAAACCAGTCCCTTGGGTCTGTCCTAAGCAGGAATTTTTTTGCTGTAAAGGGAACGTGCCTTTCAGCAGGAGTGAGTTTTTGGAGCTCGGCACGGGTGTAAAGGAAGCTCCACGTGTGCAGAGCCAAGGACATTTCTGCATATTCGTTCTCAAGGCTCTTCTACCCTCGTGCAGTGTTAATCGCTGCCAGCCTGGAGGAGGTGAAAGGGACGGGAAGAGCCCAAAGGAGCCAAASCCCGGGCGAGGGCTGAGCTCGGAGCTGGGCCCTGGCTCTGGCTCTAGCGCAGCCCTCGGCCCGCCTGGACAGGGATCCTGCAGAATATTCCTGCTCCCAACTCAGTCGCTGCTACTCGCAGCGTGATGCAGTAACAACTCCCACCACGCACTCCACACCTGGGCTAAGTTTATTTAACACCTTGCACAAAATGGACAGAACAAGCCTGATGTACAGACACTCCAAGTATTTTAATAACTAAAAATCATCTTAAAAGAAAACTTTAAACTAAAAAAAAAAAAAGGAAGATAATATTTCATTAACTCTTTTCCCCCCCTTGTTTAGGACTACCTGGTGTACCTGGAATTAGCAAAAATGGTCGGGATGGTGCTCAAGGTGAACCCGGTCTTCCAGGGGATCCTGGTACTCCCGGTATGATTGGGGCTCAGGGAACGCCGGGAATCTGTGACACATCAGCCTGCATGGGAGCTGTTGGAGCAGCAACTTCCAAAAAATCATAAAAACGACACTACGATCGATGCAAAAGTGACTGAATATTTAAGTAAGAGCATTGTAAGAAAACAGCAAGAATCCTCCTAGTGATAAATGGACAGATGTTCCTTCTATTAAAATGAATTAAGTGGAGACTGTGACTAGCAAGTGAGTTCTACGGAAAAAAAAAAAAAAAAGCATCAGGCAAAAACTTGTAATAAAAAAGGCTTTTTGAGTATTTTCTCATCCCCCTACGTTGTTAGCAGTAAAGATGCTAAGAAAGAAAGTCTCCCCTTCCCTTTCTGCCTTTGCAGCCCTGGGGAGCCTTGGTCCTTCTCACGSGGCCCCCCTAACGCTCCTCGAGGTCGGGGCTCTGCTGTGCAGGCGTTTGAGCCTCCTCCGCTCCCTGGCACTGCCGGCAACAGCCATGGAAATGAGTTATTTAAATATCCCCTATTCTTAGGCCAGAGAGTCTTAAGTGAAGATCACATCCCGTCTACGTTTCCTGTCCATCTTCTGGTTGCACCTCAGCTATTTGCAAAGAGYAATAAACAGCAGAGCTCTTGCACTCAGATTCTGCAACGATGTAATGTATATATTTCAAGTGGCAGGGGAGAATTTTTGTATATTTCCATCTAATAATAAAGGAAATTCAGTAACAGCATTCTCGTGACCGCTACTTAAGCTATTTGCACAGTAATTGTGAATGAAACCCCAACTAAGAAGGGATGCTCTTCTAAAGACCAGCCAAACACACCTGTATGAACTGTTGTAAAAATAAACGGAGATTTTTTTAACCTTTTCTTGGTGATACTGTACGTTTCATTATACACAGCAATGCTTTGATGAACGCCACTCCCTGAACTGTTTTTACAAGGATTCTTTGGAAATAAATTGCTGCAAAATTGTGAATATCCGTGATTTAAAACAGTATTTATTTTGGAGACATTTTTGTACTTTAAAGCCTGTTAGCATCATCTATTTAAAATAATAATAATGCCACTCTCAGTTCACAAACTATTCTACCTCTGTCCTAAATGCTGAAGTTTATGCACAAGGGAGCCACATTAATCTTTAAACATGAAAATAGTTTGTGCATTTAAATAATATACTGTTTACAATGTGCCACTTTTGGACTAAAGTAACAATACAAGAAACTGTTGGACTTTAAAATAATCTTAGTCTGGGGAGGAATGTGTTAAAACATTCATGGCAAAGGTGATCTTCAGATAGCAGTTCAATTTGGAAACTATGCACTTATTCAATTAACTAGTATAACTTTTATTTGAAAAAAAGGCATTATAATGGTATCTTTAATTTCTTTTAACACCTAGAGAATGTATTTGCATCTAGTCATTAAAGGACCAGTGGATGTTCTACARCCCTCCCTAACTGGCCCATGGCATGTCTTCCTTTAAAAAAAATAAAAATAAATAATAAAATGAAAGCGCAGTGCAGAACCATAAACAGAAAAGGGGTAAAAAACTAACGGGGGAAAATAGTGAGTAGGTGTCGTGACATTTTCTGCTGCCTCTGGTCCCTGAGTCCATTTATCAGCAAACTGATCGGCACTGTTGGTAGTTAACTTTCATTTCTCTTCTGAATAAAAAACGTTTTCATTCATGCTCTGTTAGTGTATTTGTACACGCTGTGTTTTGCAAGGCCATCCTGGAGCCTGTCAAGTTACTCACGTGAGAAAAATGGAATTACTCGCACGAAGGGCAGCACCCAAAGAGAGAACAAAAGCAGCCGGGCCGATTACGAGCGGCCCGAGCCCTTCGAGCTGGGCGGTTCAGACGACTTGGTCCCCAAGGCCGTGCGTGTTTTCCTGCACCGGACACGCTACAAATGAGTCTGATCTTGCTAGTTTTAGTCTTCTGCCTGTTTTACCACAGAACACAGTCTCAAATTCCTAAAATCAAAACACAGGAAGGATTATGTTTAAGGAATATATTGATGCAAGATAGTGTTTTTCAAGAGACGAGTGCATGGAGATGTGTACTGTAACAGGGAGCAGTGGGGCTGGGCAAGCATCTCCACAAGCAGGTGGAGAAAGGAATAGTCAGGGCTACATTGGCCCTTTATAATGTAAATATCTAGCAAAAGCCTTGCACATTCTTGTAGCTACATTCTGATGGATTCGAACTATTTTCACGTTTGTAATCAAGAACAAAGCTGGCTTAAGAACCTTTTTCAGAGAGTCTCCGTGCCGTTCGTGAATGTACTTCAGAAAAGCAGTTGTCCATTGCAGCGTCGTCGCCTTGTCGGTGTCCGCRGTGCAGAAGGGAACCAGGAGATTCAGTTCATCGCAGCAAATCCGGATTCTGCGCCTACAGAACAACACAGACCACTATCATCAATTGGGAGAGAAGACAAAAAGCAAGCAACACTGTCTATTCACGGGCTGCTAAAAGTCACAGCCCTTGGGGATTTTCTCTTTTATCTTCTGTTAGCTACAAACTTCATGTTTATGTATTAGCCATGGGATATGTGAGTTAGCATAGATTTGTTAAATCAAAACAAATCAACAGATCAGAGACTTGTTAAATGCTCTGATTTATGCCTTTATTTTTCCCCTTATGCAGTAAAACAACAACAAAAAGCGCCCCCATCCATTCTTCCCTCTAACAAATATCTAACACTTTATCCCTGGCACTGATTTTTCTTGTAAGGAAAATGCAATAGGTCAAATCCACCTTCTGCCCTGGGTACTGATGGTAGTACTACAGTATTGGTATTTCAGAGAACCACAGAATCATTAAGGTTGGAAGGGACCTGCAGAGCACATCCCRTCCAACCCCCTGCACACGCAGGGTCACCCAGAGCACGGGGCACAGGCTGCGTCCAAGCGGGTTGGGAAGAGCTCCAAAGGAGGAGACTCCACAGCCTCTCTGGGCAGCCTGCTCCAGGGCTCTGCCACCCTTATTGGCAGGAAATTTTCCTCAAGTTCCTGTGGAACTTTTGGTGCTTCAGTTTGTGGCCAGTCCTACCAGTGGCCACCACTGAAGAGGGGCCGCCCCATCCTCCCCACCGCCTCCCCTGAGGTGTTTGTGGACACCGAAGGCCCCTCACCTGCGGTCCCGCTCCATGCGGTTGTGGCGCTCGCGCCGCTGCGAGACGCCCTCGAGGGCGGCCCCGGCGGCGGCGCCCGCGGGCCAGGGTCCCTGCGCGCCCGCGGCGCCCGCGCCCTCGCGCGTGTTCTGGATCTCGCCGAGCGGCTTCCGCTCCGCGCCGGGCTCCAGCGGGCTCGGCCGGCTGCGGCTCCTCTTGCTCAGCGCTTGCTTGCACAAGGCGTCTTCTTTGCAAAACCAAGAGGAAAGGGAGATCCTGAATTAAAACCTTGCTATTATTATTGCAATTCTGATCAAAGATTGATCACTTTAAATTTATTTTTAGTCATTTCATTTATGGGGAATAATCTCTGGAGCTTTAGCCCCATCCTAGATTGAGTCATAGAAACAAAACGTCCTTAGGAAGCCCTAACGCACTGCTTGTTGCTTGACAATCTACTTAGTTTCTACGTTCTCAAAGTAATTATTGAGATAATACTTGCTTTTAATGAACATTTGAGGAAGTCCTTTAAATGTTCCTCAGTTTTATATTGGCTGCAACTGCTACACCAAATTTGGGGTTAAAGAATTGGCAGAGCCAGTTACTTAGACMCAGCCCAGGGTTTCCAAGGTACTTTGCAGTCTCAGTTTTTCTCATTTCAAACTAGCACTGCTGAACAATTTTGAAAGTATAGCTAAAATTCAATTTTTTTTAAGGAAATCCAGTCCCATATTGTCCACAGTGTGTCCCAGACATAGTGACCACAACTCATATGCATCAGTAAAATCATATTCATTATAGAAAATAAATTCAGAAATAAAAAACACAAGTACAGATTTGAAAATGAAGGGCATGGATAGCGACGTGAAAGGGAGTTGCACGTGCTTTACCTCCAACTTTGATCCAGACCTGCTCGGGCAAAGCCTTATTCCTAGCACCCGCTGTCTGCTTCGTGGCTTCCATCTCCTGATGGTAACAGAACGGTCTGGGTAACGCCAGGTCTTGGTGTTTGGCAGCTTCCAAAACAGCGCAGGACGTTCCAGAGGTCTGCGAAAAACAACCACCCAAATCCTTTTGGTCAAAATGRGTTAGAACAAAAGGAAATGGAAATTTGTCCTCGCTGAGCGTTTCCTTCTGGGATTGTGTAGATGACGTTTATGTACACACACACACAAGATTACAAATATCTTCCTAACAAGCCATCTAAAGGCTGCCTGATCATGTTACCTGCATGCACATTATCACAGATGACATAACTGGAATAAGTACTTTTTGATGGTCTTAAAGATTAACCTAAGAATAAACAAATTACAACATTGTAAATCCTTCTTTTCAGGCAGATTTAAACCAATCAAAAACCAAAGAAAAAATTCAAACATTTTAGCATAATCTTCTGGAATTATGTTACACCTAAAAGGGGTAAATTAATGGTGTCAGCACTCGAAGATTGCAGGGTTGTTAGAGGTGGAATTAGCACTGGGAATACACAGAGATCGAGACCCCCCTGGTGCAGCAGGTGCTACAGGTAACACGGGACGATTTTTCAGGAGTTTGCGATTCCAGACTGACTCCAACGCGGCCCAAGCCTAAGCCTGGTGACCTGCTGCCCCGGCGGATCCTGCCCCAGGGATGCRGGCGGATCTGCAGCCGCCTCCTCCCGCTATCAGCGGGACCGTCACCCACCTGCGCGTGCGAGGCGCCGGCGGGCGCGTTCATGGCCAGCAGCGGGTACGCGAACTGCAGCGCCGCCGGCTTGCCCTTCACGAGGCCGGCGCACTTATTCGGGTGCTGGTGGAGAGGAATCAGCTCCGAGGGCGGCCGGATCAGCGTTACTAAACTTGAGGAGAAAACACACACACAGGTGCAAGGCTGGCTACTYGACAACGAGGGGCAGAACGTCTGCAGGTGTGCGCTCCCTCCTGGGAACTAGCATCAGGAAACCACTTTCATCTACTCGAAATACAAATCGTTACTATTGGTTTTTGTCACTTTGGTGACGAGAAGATCAGCTGAGGAGAGTCCTCTAAGCAGCAACGTTTCTTTGCAAGGTTTTCCCACAGCTGGGCCCCCAATCTCCAGCATTATCCAATTCCCAATGCTTTGTTATCCTCTAAATCTACCTGACTTCTACCAGGTAGCGTTTAACACCAGGCAACGTTCTTCCCCTGCCTTTATCTACTCCGCTACTTGGTATCAAAAATAATATTGGGAAGTAATCCACTTTGTATCTATTTTGTAACTGTGCAATATAYAAAGGGAAAACCTGAGGCGGGCAGAGTTACGGCCACATTTTACCGGTGCAGTTCTTATAAAAACCCCAACTCTTTGCTTTTTGCACATGAAACCAGCCCCGTGCACAGGCTCAACTCAACAAACCAGTTTAGAGCTACGTGAAAACCCCGGCGGTGAAAGGTGTCGAGGACAGGGAATCCCCACGCACTTGCTGAGGGCGGCGGCGGGCTCGTGGGGCTCCGGCGCGCGCGGCGGCTCCGCCGGGATGCTGTTGAACCTGTCCTCCAGCCGCACGCGCACGGCCGACCTGGCCCTGGCCTCGGGCGCGGGGACGGGCCCGTCGGCGCCCGCAGAGCTGCCCTTGGGCCGGACGGCGCCGGGCGCCTCCGCGGAGCCGCCGCCGCCGGGCGTTTTGTCGGCGTGGGCCGCGGGCGGGTTGGGCTCGCTGAGCAGCAGCATCCTGAGCTCCTGGAAGTCRACGTGGCCCACGCAGGGGTTGGAGCTCAGCAGGCTGCTCTCCGGGGGCTGGCAGAGCACGGGGAACACGGGCTGCGTGGCGGCGGCCGGGCCGGCGTCGGGCGCGGGCTCCGCGGGGCCGCCGGCCGGCGCGAAGGCGGCGTTGAGCCGCGGCTCGCCGTCGGCCTCGCCGGCCGGGGCCTCCATGTGGGCGCAGAGGATGTGCTGGAGCTGCGTGTACTCCATCTCCGTCATCTCCACCAGGCTGAGGTCCGTGGTGGTGAAGCTCAGGTTCTGCTCGGCGAAGGAGGCGTCGGTGGGGCCCGCGGGCGCCAGGGTGGTGTCGGCCGCGCCGGGCGGGACGGAGCCCCGCGCCTCCTCCTCGGCGGCCGCTCCGGACATGGCCGAGGCGGCGCCCACGC